TCACCATCTAGCTTTTATCATTACTTATCACCGCATATTAACATCGTCTTTATTACCATCAGGAATCGTTGTAGTAATAGTAGTAGTAGCCATAGTATCGGTAGTAATAGTAACAAAAGCGGTACGTTTAATAAAAAAAATTAATAGTGTAATAGTAATAGTAGTAGTAGCCATAGTATCGATAGTAATAGTAACAAAGGCGGTACGTTTAATTTTAAAAAAAGAAGAAAAAAATAGTAATAGTAGTAGTAGCCATAGTACCGGTAGTAATAGTAACAAAAGCGGTACGTTTAATAAAAAAAAATAATAGTAGTAATAGTAATAGTAGTAGTAGCCATAGTAGCGCTAGTAATAGTAACAAAAGCGGTACGTTTAATTAAAAAAAAAAAATAGTAATAGTAATAGTAGTAGTAGCCATAGTATCGATAGTAATAGTAACAAAAGCGGTATTTTTAATTTTAAAGAAAATAATAGTAGTAATAGTAATAGTAGTAGTAGCCATAGTATCGATAGTAATAGTAACAAAAGCGGTACGTTTAATTTAAAAAAAAATAATAGTAGTAATATTAATAGTAGTAGTATCCATAGTATCGGTAGTAATAGTAACAAAAACAGTACGTTTAATTAAAAAAAAGAAAAAGAAAAAAAATCAAAATAATATTCCCAATTCAAAATATTCAATCTCTTTGTGTGTTTTACGCATGTAAGTATAATCACAACCCACTACACGTACACACACGACTCCCCTCTTGTCGTACACACTGAAAAGAACGTACACACACAACCGTATGACGTTTACATACGGGAGCTTACGTTAGTGATTAGCGAAATGGAACGACCATCGGACAATTTTAAATAAGGGTCTTCCACGTAATCTTCCAATTTGATGGGAATATGTAAAATAATATATATATATTATATGTTATGTATTATATATATATACATTGTTAGGGACTCGATCGCTACGGTTAATTTATGAAATTACGGAGATAGCTTTTAATCCACTTATTCGGACGATCGTGCTCGGTGTGCTCGCTCTCTCTCCTCTCTCTCTCTCTCTCTTTCTCTCTCTCTTGCTCTCTCTCATTCTCTTTCTCTTTCTCTGTCTCTTTCTATTTCTCTTTCTCTTTCTCTCTCTCTCTCTCTCTCTCTCTCTCTCTCTCTCTCTCTCTCTCGCTTCGCTCGCTCGCTCGCTCGCTCTCTCTCTCTCTCTCTCTCTCTCTCTCTCGCTCTTTCTCTCTCTCTCTCTCTCTCTCTTCTCTCTCTCTCTCTTCTCTCTCCTCTCTCTCTCTCTTCTCTCTCTCTTCCCTCTCTCTCTCTCTCTCTCTCTCTCTCTCTCTCTCTCTCTCTCTCTCTCTCTCTCTCTCTCGCTCTCTCTCTCTCTCTCTCTCTCTCTCTCTCTCTCTCTCTCTCTCTCTCTCTCTCTCTCTCTCTCTCTCTCTCTCTCTTCTCCTCTCCCTCTCTCTCTCTCTCTC